TGTATCACTATATTGGATTTGCTAACTGTTTTTAGTAGTTTCGCAGCCACGTTCATGAGAATTATTGGTCTGAAGTCTTCCTTTCTTGCAACATCCTTGTCAGGTTTTGGATTTTATCCTAGCCTTATAACACAAGTTGGGAAATATTCTATCTTTTTCTATTCTCTGTAAGAGGGTTTGTGGGCTGTTGTTGTTTGTTTGTTTGTTTTTTAACACTGGTGTTATTTGTTCTTTAAACATTTGAGCACAAGTCAAGTCATCTCACTTAGCACTTTCTTTGTAGGGTGGTTTTTAACTGTATTTAGCTTCTTTGATATGTAAATATTCAGCTTTTCTATTTCTTCTTATGTCAGTTCTGGTAAGTCATGTTTTTCAATGAATTTTTCCAATTTATCTAAATTTTCAAGTTTATTATCATAAGATTTTTGTATAATAGCTTCCTTGAATACTCTGTAGGACTTTTCATCCTCAATATTGGTTATTTGTGGATTCTTTCTCCTTTTTCTTAATCATTCTTCTTAGAAATCATCAATGTTATGTCTTTTTAAAGAACCTATTTTTTGCTTCATTAATTTTCTATTTTATTTCTATTGTCTCATGATCCATTCTTACCTTGATTATTTTCTTTCTTGTAGTTTCTTTAGGTTCAGTCAGTGGTTCTTTTCCTATCTTCTTGAAATAGATCATAGGACATTAATTCTCAACTTTTCTTTTGCACAGTGTGTACATTTAAAGCTCTAAATTTCCCTCAAATCACTACTTCAGCTACATCCTAGTTTATGTTGTTATGCCATATTCTTATCCCATCAGCTTACATTTACTTTTATTTCTTCTTTGATCTGGAGGTTCTCAGAAAAGTTCTAATCATGTTGAGATTTTATAGTTCTATTTCGTAATATTGATTTTTAGCTTAATCTCACTATTGTCAAAAGACATATGTTGTATGACCTTAGTCCTTTGAAATTTGTTGATACTTTCTATGTTCACCAACCCAGGAGCTCCCTGAACCCTGTACTGTAGAGATTTTTATGGAGGCTTTGTCACATAGGCGTGATTGATTATTAATTTATTTTCCAGCCCCTTCCCTATCTCTGGAGGATCACGGGTAGGACTGTAAGTTCCAAGCTCTGGTCACAGCTTGGACTCTCTAATGATCAGCCATCTTCCAGGAGCTTACCAAGAGCCACCTCAATAGAATAAAAGGTGTTTCTATCACCAGAAGTTTCAAGGGACTTAGAAACTACTCAGGAATGACAGGGTTTCAGGAGCTCTGCATCAGGAACTGGAGTCAAAGAACAAATATTGGTGAAATGGGGGACAGAGACTAAATTATGTATTTCTTCCTATCTCACACTATCCTACATTAAATAGCTGATAATCTTTTAAGGAAGTTAAAGACCTAAAAGGTAATTATTTTAAATTTACCATTCCAGTAATGGCTCTTCATAGAGCCGTCCTGAGACATTCATGGCTCTTCATTCCAAGTGCTATATTCCTTCTGCTACAGAACTTCTTTTAACATCTTTTAATATGCATATCTTCTAACAACAAATTATCCTGGCTTTTTCCTAAAAAAAAAGGAAAAAAGCCTTTAGTTTTTCTTTATTTTGAATGGATCATTTCACTGGATATAGAATTACAAATTGATAGACTTTTCTTTCAACATTTAAATGATGTTTCATTGTCTCTTGGTTTATTTAGGTTCCGATGAGATGTCCATGGACATTCTTGTCTTAGTTTCTCTGTGTGTAATATATCATTTTTCTCTGTCTGCTTTTAAGATTCTTTCTGTATCTCTGGTTTTCAGCAATTTTATTATCATGAGGCTTGCTATGATTTTCTTTATGTTTACCCTGCTTATGGTTTATTGAGCTTCTTGGAACTGTGGATTTATGACTTGCATTAAATTTGTGTGTTTTTCAGCAATATTACACCAATGACTTTTTTCGTTTCTCCCCCTATCTCCTTCTGGCACTCCATCCGTATGTATTTTAGACCCCTTAATATTATCTCACAGATCACTAAGGTTCTGCTCAGTTTTTCAATTTTTCTGTTTTTATTCTGTGTTTCATTTTGGATAGTTTCTATTGCTGTCATTTAATTTCACCATTTTCCTCTGCAATATTTACTCTTCTATTAAGCTAATCTAGTAAAAACTTTCATTCCATATTTTGTATTTTTCATCTTTTTAAAAAAAGTTTATTTGAGACAGAGACAGAGAGAGAGAGAGAGAGAGCACAGGTGGGGGAGGAGCGGAGAGATGGGGGGACAGAGGATCTGAAGCAGGCTCTGTGCTGGCAGCAGAGAGCCCAGTGTGACCCTCGAAATCACAAACCATGAGGTCATGACCTTAGCCAAGGTCAGACGCTTAACCACCTGAGCAACCCAGGCACCCTGTATTTTTCATCTTTATAGGTTCCATTTGGTTCTCTTTTTTTTTTTTTTTTTTTACCTCTTCATTCTATTCATGCTATCTTTTTAAATTCTTAGGCACATTTTTTTAAATTCATTAGACTTTTATTCTCTAATCCCTAGTTTTGATAATTATCGCTAAATGAAATATGTTTAAATTCAAGAGAATGTATACATTATTTACATCATGTACTTAAAAAATAAGGCAAGCTCATTGCTTCTTTTGTTGTTGTTTGTTTTCTTTTTCTGTTGCTCTATTTTTTTCTTTCAGAGTTTATTGTCAAGTCAGTTTCCATATTAACACCCAATGCTCATCCCAACAAGTACCCTCCTCCATGCCCATCACCCCTCTTCCCCTCTCCCCCACCCCTATCAGCCCTCAGTTTGTTCTCAGTATTCAAGAGTCTCTCATGGTTTGCCTCCCTTTCTCCCCAGACTATGTTTTCCCCTTCTCCTTCCCCATGTCCTCTGTTAAGTTTCCCCTGTTCCACTTGCAAGTGAAAACATATGGTATCTGTGTTTCTCTGCCTGACTTATTTCTCTCAGCATTAACACTCTCGAGTTCTCTCCACGTTGCTCCATATGGTCAGATTTCATTTTTTCTCATTGCCATGTAGTATTCCACTGTATAGATAAACCACATCTTCTTGATCTATTCGTCACTTGATGGACATTTAGGCTCTTTCCATGATTTGGCTATTGTTGAAAGTGGTGCTATGAACATTGGAGTGCATGTGCCTTGGGCACATTTTAAATTGCTGTTTTTAAATCCTTGTCTGCTAATTCTATTTATTGCTGAGTCCACTTTTGTTAACTGATTTTTCTCTTGATGATCAGCTCATTGTCCTGCTCTTTTGTGTAACTAGTATGCTTCCTGGCTGCTAGATACTGTGACTATCACATTGAAGGGTGTCTAGACTTTGTTTCTTAAAGAATGTTAAATAGGCAGTAAAAATATTTGACAGACAGTAGTGTAACTTGAAGAGCAATTTGTTTCTTTCAGGGTTGTTTTTTTAAGCTTATTTGGGTGAGTTTATAATAACCTTTACTCTAGGGCTAATTTATCCCTGTTACTAAAGTATGACTCTTCTGTGGCCTCTGCTCTAATGCCCCCAAAGTTTGTTCTGCCCTAGCTGGGTGGAACTTGACTATTTCTCAATCCTGTAAAAAGCTTTAGAGATTATTTAGCCTATAATTCCCAGCAGTTATTGGCCCAACCTCCCGCAGTTTCTCTCTATGCATCTAAAGTTTATTTTTAAGCATAGACTCAAAGGGACTTCTGTGTTTATTCCCGAAGTGCCTTTTCTGCATAGCTCTCTCCTCTATGGTTGTCTCCCACACACATTCCAGCTGCCTCCACTCACTCAAGCTCTGGTCTCTGTCTTTTCAACTCAGTGACCTGCTATGCCCTGTTCAGGCTCTTCCTACCTGCACTGTGGTCTGGAAAGTGCCTCTAGGCAGGCAGCTGGTGTGATTGTAGGACTTGATTTGCTTCTGTTCTTACCTTTATCCCAGTCTTTTGCTGCCTGTTGTCCAATGTCTAGAAACAGCTGCTGCCTATATCTTGTCCCGACTTCCAGCGCTTTGCGGTAGGAGATCAATCTCAGAATCAGCCACTCCATCATAGCCAGAGTGGAGCGATGCTGCCGGGTTTTGTTAACTTTGCTATTGAAAAGTAAACTCCTGGAGTCAGTGGTTCCATGGTAGAAGAGGAGAAAGGGGAAGGGATTTAGAGGCAACTACATAACTTTTTAAAAATGTTTGTTTATTTTGAGAGAGAGAGAGAGAGAGAGAGTTAGTTTCTTGACCGTCATTATGAGTATGTAAATCCCTGGAGGGGAAGGAGCTCATTTCTTTAGTCTTGGTATATCCAGCCATGTAGCTTAGCACTGTCTCTGCATAGTACCATGTTTATTGGTTCTGTAAAACTTAGCTGTGAGTTGACTATGTCATGGATAACATATGGCTTACTCCTCCTCACTTAATAATAAACATGTATTGAGCATCTATTATGAACCAGGTCCTACAGTCGGAATAGAGTTGTCCAGAAGATTGAGTCCTATTTCCTGGCTTTGGGAGCTGAGCCGAGTGGAGTCAGTGAAGCAGACAGGCACTTTGTAGTACAGGGCGATGAATGCTTTGATAGGCATATGCCCAGAGGACTGTAACTGCACACAGGGAGGAAGCTAGCCCTGTTGCGAGGAGCAGAGGCAACCATATACCGTTACATAACATTTGCCAGAAGTTTAAGAAATGCATTACATTTAGAAATATTTTCCAAAGTTACATAGAGGGAGGGAGGCAAACCATAAGAGTCTCTTAAAGACTGAGAACAAACTGAGGCTTGATGGGGTTGGGGGAGAGGGGAAGGGGGGTGATGGGCATGGGGGAGGGCACTTGTTTGGATGAGCACTGGGTGTTGTATGGAAACCAATTTGACAATAAACTATATTTTAAAAATATAGTTTCCTCTCAATTTCAAAATAAAACCCAGTGGCACTATTACATTTGGTTTTGAACGTTTCTACTTTAGGCTACTATGCTTCTGTAAAATGAAGGTGAATTTGGCAGCTTTGTCAATATTGCAGTATTGTTGATTTGGATCAATGATCGAGATGTGGCAGTTACTGTCACTACTGATGATGATGACAAGATTTATTTAGGCACCACCAGTGAACCAGTTGCCGTGTCAGGCTCTTTTCAGCCTTTAACCATCCACTACAGTTCTGCACGTTAGAAGTTGTGAGCTCCAGAAGCTCAGGGAGGTAAAGTTAGGTCCTCGGGCTCACACACTCAAAAGTGAATACTCCATGACTATGTTACTCAGTGGTAATTTAGTAGCTAGAAAGAGGACAATCTGAGCTCACCACTAACTGTGCCTCCTTCCGTGACTATGCTGTCTTCTGAAGCTCTTTTCACCTGAGCTCTCCCATCTGCCAAACTCAAGTGGAAAACAGTTAACTCCTTCCCGGGAGAGCCTGTGCTGGTACATAGATGGTTTGCATTATTTTGCTTTGAATAACTGCATATGCAAATATGCCCCTGGAGGTTAAAATTTCCCTTGTTTTTGTTTTTGTTTTTTTTTTTAACTGGGCCTCTTCCACTGGGGTAATTAGTTGAAAATTGTGGGGATGAAATGACAGGCCAGAGAGAATGTTAGTCACACGGAATCGCTTCTTCTTCCCCCTCCCCACCCAACACATATTTCTATTCAGATACAAGCTGCCACCACAAAAGATTCCTCCATTTCCCAACATGGAGTCCTCGCTGGTTCTGATAGTCGGGGTCCAGGGTGGGTTCATCCAGACGTTACTCGTTAACTCTGCATCAGGATGATGTTCAGGGGCAGATGTTCTTGCTGAGAAGAATAAAAGCCTCCTGTGGCACCTGGAAGACTTCACCCCACATGGTCCCCAGCCAGATCACAAAGAGATCCTAGCGCCCATGGGCCCTTTGCTGCTTCTAACCATCCACCTCTTGTTCAGAGATTGGCGTATCTCCTCGCCTTCCACTCTCCCGTGGGCCCTGCATTGTTGAGCCCTCCCTATCTTACAGTCCCTTTCCTGGCATTTGAATCATCACTTCGATGATGTGATAATATCTGCAAGTTGGGAAAATAAAAGTGGCATTTGTTTAGCCATAATTAATGAAATATTTATGTTGCATGAGACTATGTGATAAAACCTTAGGCTTAGAGTCCTTTTGCTTCTGATTACATTTGGGATTTTTTTTTTCTATGACCAGACATTCTGACGCCAGCTCTTTTACATTGAGCAGATGTCATGTAGTAAAAATGGGTGCCAGATGCTGTGAGCCACAGAAGGGCGATTTGTTTAAGAGCTGGCTCCGACTTTTTTGCATTCAATTACTCTGCAGAACGAACCTTACACGAGCATTTAGGTAACTCAGCTAACTTCAGACAAGGATTTTAATAATAGATTTCATCTCTAAATGCATTCTCAGCAACACACCATATAAATGGTGTTTAAGGAATTAATTGATTTCTGCATAATACCTTTTCTTTTTAATATGAAAGAGCTGCAAAGCTCTTGGCAGGGACCCAGAAATGTAATTAACGTGGAGGGCCAAATTTCCAGTTGCCCTTAGGTACTGCCTCCTCCTGCTCACGGCAGGTGCACTGAGTGAGGGAAGGGCAGAGAGGAAGGGGATGAGGGGAAGAAGGGAGGAGGGAGAAGCAGCTTTGGGTCTGGAAGCAGAAAAGAAGCGGAGAGTTCAGTGAGTTCTTCTGTTCCCGTTTCAGGTCCCAAACACATCCCTCTCCGAGTGCAGGTGACGGAGGCTGCCTCTTCTACCTCTTCCACCAGCTCCTCCTCTGGAGATGAAGATTTTCATCCCCAGCCTTCGTTGCAGCCAAAGGTAACACCACTTGGCAAACTAAAAAGGGCCTTGGCTTATGGGAGCCATTCACCATGCCGATTCCAGACCCCATGTGGGCCCCAGCTGCAGTGGTTGCGTTGGAGGATCGCGTTTCATTGCATCTGACAGCAACCGCTCTTTACCTGCAACACCCTGAGAATTATCTTTTTTTTTTTTTTAACTTTTAGAAGCTTGCCTTTCTTCGAGACTCCAGCTGGCAGGAAAAAAAAAACCAGACATATTTACTTAAAATCATTTGGTGACTGCAGCTCTTAAAGTGGGTTTAATATGTGGTCCAACAAGCAAACCATCGAAAAAATTACAACAAGCAGATGCATATTTCCCTGGGGGAAACACAGCTTCGTTGAAGAAGCACTAGAGGCAGATTGCATGGAAAATGTTATGTTTATTCTCATCAGAAATAGGAAACGGACCATGCAGATGCACGTAGATCCGGATCTCCAAGGGTCCCTGATGTGGAAGGGGCTAGCTGCGTGCTGGCCGGGGACATGGCCCTTCTTCTCTTTGCTTAAGGAAGAGTTCTGGGAAACAACTCCCATGCCCATAGATTTAGAGGCACAAACATGGTTGTGTGTCCTTCAGTGTGTCTGTATGTCACGTACATGAAGGCACATCCCACGACCAAGTCTCGCGGTTGTTTTCTTTATCCTCGGGGCCTGGAGCATTTTCACCGGGACTGGTGCATGAATGGCTGGACCAAACACGCTTTCCAGGAGGACAGAGAAGCAGTTCACTGTGCTAACAGTGTTTATTTTTTGGAGCAGTGGGGATCTGAGGAGAAGGGGAGAGAACCACATTTATTTACTCAGACTCAACTTTTCCATATCTGGCATGAGGAGCTTTGGCGCCATCTCAAGTCACTCGGGGTTTCCAGCCCTTCTGTGGCCCAGCTTAGAGCAAGTCAGGAGGGGCGCTGGGACATGGCGTGAGAGGGGTGAGGGGAAGAGAGGGACAAACAGAGGGAAAGAACGTAAGAGGGAGGGAGAAAGGGCATGCGAATGAAAGAGAATATGTATGGGTTTCTCCTTTCTTGGGGCATCTCTGATGAGTTCAGCACTCAACACAAATGAATTTGGTGTGTTATGTTGACTTCCTGGGGTTTCTTTACTGTCCCTCTCTCATCCCTTTAAGCGACCCTGTATTCAAATGAGTAGGAACATTCATCAGCCATTCCGGCGGCCAGTCCAGCACTCACGGAGAATAAGAATGGAATGGTCCAAACACATCAAATAGCAAGATCATGAGATCTAGGGCAAGCCTTGCAAGTAGCTCCTTGTCCTCCTGCTGGCCCAGAACACAGCCTGTCAGCACTTAAGCTTACCCTGTGGAAAGGCTTGCCTGCTTCACCTGGCTTCGGACCACTCTTACATGGAGGGAAGCTGGCCAGAAGGTTCTTTACTCCTTTCCAAGGGCTCACCCTGAAGGAACAAGGGTTTCCTCCCCCCACCCTGGTTTCTTTATCTCTTCTTTCCCGTATAGGTGTGCCCCAGCCACTCGGCACAGAGCCCACGTCAGTTCAAATGAAGCTTTGCACAGGAAACTGGACACGGGATGTGCATAGCCCACCTCTTCCCTTTGCTTAGGCTCTCTCTCCACCTCGCCTCCCAAACCATGCCTGGGCCTGGGAGACAGGGGCGGGCAGCTGGTCCTTGGTCCTGCCAGACCTCTCCTTTTCTCTGTCCTTTGTCTTTCCTTCCTTGTCTTTTGCAAAAATATTTTTAAAGTTTATTTATTTATTTTGAGAGGGGGTGGGAGCGGGAGAGTGGCAGAGAGAAGGGGGAGGAGAGAGAATCCCAAGCAGGCTCTACACTGTCAGCGCAGAGCCTGATGCAGGGCTCGAACCCGCAAACCCGCAAGACCATGACCTGAGCTGAAATAGAGAGTTGGACACTCAACCGACTGACTCCCTTGCCCAGGCACCCTGCCCCGAGCCTCTTTTTCCTTTTCTCTCTGTGCTGTCATTGTCACCACTGAGGATATAAAGACCGTGCCTGGCACATCATAAGGCTATATGAGCATTTGTTAATAAATCATCCTTCTTTTATATGTCAACATCTGTTAATAAAAGTCAGTAATGACTTTCTTTCCTCCTCCAGGTTCTGGGTCACTAACTCTTGATGAAGCAGTAAGGTTTTGGCTCCACTGCTTGGAAAAGTGTTAGGATGCTGTCAAGGCACCCCCCACCCCCACCCCTGCCACCTTAAAATTACATTAAATGGTCTTAGTGTAGGGGGACACTTTGACATTTCTATAAGGCAGGGGTCTTCGATGTGTCTGTACAATATTTGGCATAGGAAAAGCAGTATAGACCAGATGAAAACATGGACATTGGATTCAGGCTCCCTGGGCTTAACTCCCGGCTGTACCAATTACTAATGGTGCCATCTTGGGCAAGTTATTTAACTCCAAGATTTGATTGCCTTATTCGTAATGTAAGTGTAATTTGAGGAATAAGTGAGATGATGTATGTGAAGTAATCAGTATAATATCTGCCACATAGCACTTAGGATGTGCTGGGATTTATTATGTAAATTAATATAATGGAAGCTGAAGAGATATTTGTGAGTCTTTGAGTTAGACAGTATCTAGATGACAACTACCAGTGATCTCTGCCATGCCCCTCCATCCTAACCTTTCCAGAAAAGGCTGCCTAATGGTGAGATTCCCCCATCTCAGTGGCCCAGACCCCCTGTTAAGAGTGATGGATGGTAAATCTGGAAGCTATCTCATAGAAATAGAGATGATCTGATATGGAATAAGTTTGAGTCCTGAGAGCTAAAATTTCCTTCCAAGAGTGAAGAAGATCTTTAGGACTCTAGATCCCAAAGAGAATTCTAGAAAAAGGAAATTTCATCCTGAATGTTTTCACTGATCATCTGTAGACACTCTGAAGCCTCAAAGCTGACTGTCTGAGGAATGTGATGGTCTCCCATACATACCCACGGAATAGGGGACTGAATGACCAGGATTCACGAGGCCCTGGCAATGCACACGCTTTTCAGGCATAATCTCTGACCTCTGTCGTGGACCTGGATTCCTCTGGCAGTATCTGGGGTGGGCCTATTAGGTCTATTCTTCCCTTGTCGGTTTATAATCCCTTTAATGGGCAAACAGTTAGTCCAACCATTTATTGAATTGCCCAGGCACCAGGCTAGCTGTAACAAATTTTTAATTCCATATTTGTTTCTGCAGGCATTAAAAGGAAATCTTTAGCATGCTCTAATCTTCATCTTAATATGTAGAAAGTGGATAAGTATACTCAGAAAAGACAAACTCATAGTAGAACTAGTCCAGTTTAAACATTTACTTTGTGTATATAGGATATACATGTATCTCTATATACTTATATGTGTATATTACATATACATGCACACGTGTATGAAAAATGCGTTGATTTTAGTAAATTATAATCATGCTGATTTATAACATGATAATCAATAATCATGCCACTTAATAATAAAAATCATGGTATTAGTTGAGTACTTATCCAATATCTTTTTCAAGTATTCTACAAAGGGCATGACCGATATTCTCTCAATTAGTTCTTTTTTGTTTATTTGTTTATTTTTGAGAGACAATGTGAGTGGGGAAGGGGAAGAGAGAGAGGGGGAGAGAGAGAGAATCCTGAGCAGGCTCTGTGGTATCAGCCCAGAACCTATAGCGGGGCTCTATCCCATGAACTGTGAGATCATGACCTGAGCAGAAGTCAAGAGTCAGACACTCAACTGACTGAGCCGCCCAGGCACCTCTCTCAATCAATTCTTATAACATCCCTACCAGGTGGGCTCTAAATCATTTCCTTTACTCTGAAGAGGGCACTGAAGTTCAGAAAGTTGTGTGACATGCTGAAACTCTCACAGCTCAGCTGGGATTTGATGCCAGCTTTGCATGGTGCCTGGGCCCAGCATTCAGCCAGTACTCTGATGTTTCTCTAACCAGAAGTGTCTTCTCCGCTTTCCAGTATGTGGAGCTGGCCGCACCGTTACTTTCTCCTTACTCTGGTGTTTAAAAGCTGGAAGTGACATTGTCAAGATCCAGACATCTATTTTCATCCATTGATTTTGAGGGTTCTTGATTTTACAAGCGTAGGCACACACAAAACCCAGTGATATTGACGACATATTTGTACAAGCAAAGTGAAGTAGGAAAGGGAAGTGGTCTTATGCCTACCTCAATCCAAGAAATACTTGTATTTGGATTATTTAGATACCTTCCTCTATTCCCAGGTACAAGTAGGCAATGTAGACCCAACCTAAGGACTTTAAAATTGTTAAATCGTTTTCATGGTGTGTGTGTGTTTGTGTGTGTGTGTGTGTGTGTGTGTGTGTGTGTGTGTGTCTGTGTGTATGTTACCCTCCCTGGCTCATCCCTCTTGGGCCTGTGGTAACATCTGTGTAGAGTATAATTTTTATGTTATTCTTTTCCTCAGGGGAACCAAGTCAACTCTCTATAAAGCCACTGCCCCCTACACATCTACATATACACACTCTCCAACACACACACACACATACACACACACACACACGTACACACACTTCCCAATCTGGCACCTACTAGCCATATGTGGCTATTTAAATTTATTAAAATGAAATGAAATTTAAAATTCAATTTCTTATTCATGCTAGCCTCATTTCAGATGTCCAATAGCCACATGTGGCTAGGGGCTTCCATATTTTAGATAGCACAGACATAGATATTCCATCATTGCTGGGAGTTCTATCAGAACATCATTCTAGAAGCTAAGCAGTGGCTCTAGTGGGAAAAGTAGAAGCTTGTGTCACTATTTTTAAAATTTCAACCCCATTTTTCTCAAATATATTTTTTCTTTTCTATTGGTGTTTTTTTTTTTTTTTTTTAGGAGAGGAAGACACTTAGAAGAAGGAAGCTGAAGAACGCAATAAAACAATTGGTTAAGCAAGAAGAATTGAAAAGACTTCATAAAGCTCAGGTCAGAATACAAACTTGACATGAATGAGTGAGCCTGGGGCCTGGGACCTGGTAATTGGATTGGAAAGCCCTTTGGAAGTCTGTATTTTACTGGGGGAGATGGGCTGGGGAAAAGGTCAGTCTCTCTCTTTTCAATGACCAGATTTGTGGCCATTCTAAAAGTCTTAACTCAATGCCTGGTTGGACTCTGAGGCCTGGAGAGCTGAGGAATTGAGCTGCCCCCCCCCCCACCTCCCCTCAGCTGCCTTTCTATTTGCAAACATGTGTCCTGCAAAGTGAGGCTGGAATGACAGGTGACCCGTGGCCTTGGGACCCATCCCAAGCCCTAATACCACATAGCAGTGACTTAGTTTTGTCTCCTGTGAGGATACAACCTTCCCCTGACTTCCTGACAGTGTCCCTGCTGAACTGACAACTATTAGAAGCTGTCTCTACTCCAAGGTTCGTCAAAATCATGAGCATCTAGCATTCCAATATAGATTCCCTCATTTGATTGTGAGCTCTACACATTCCTGCCCAGGTTGGTCTGCCCACTTCTGTCACAGACAGCCAAGAGAAGCAGAGAGTCAAGCATTCTCCATCTCCCCGAGGACCCCAGACCTTAGCCTTGAAGAACAATGGGGTTTTAGGACAGAAGGGCTTAGAATGACCAATCGTGTTCATGCAGAGTACCCTTATATCTCTTTCTGCCATTACTCTCTCTGGCCATGTAGTCCTGTTGAGGAAGGAAGTCAAATTCCTTTACCCTTCATAGCGACTCATGAGAGAGCCACCCCTGTCACCTAGCGGACATGGAAAATCCCCACAGTCTCTGTCCTCTGTCAACTTCTGAAGCAGGTTTCCTTGAAACACTGTAACTTTCCCTTGGGAGAACAAGGTCGGTCTCTATGGTGCAGATTGGCAGACCCAGCAACCCCCTCCTCACATTCTCCCTCCAGAACCATGACGCCTCTGGAGTTCCCATTTGTTAGCGCTCACAGCAGCCCTTGTTAGTCTTCAAGATTTTCACCCTTGGTTTCCAAAAAACGACCGCTGCCGTAGTCCGCTCAGGTGGCCATAACATCATCACATAAAATACGTGGCTTAAAAAACAGGAATGTATTTCTCATAATTCTGAAGTCCAAAAGCCCAAGATGAAGGTACCTTCAGGACTGTTTTTTTTGTGTAGCCTCTCTTCCTGGCCTGGAGACAGCTGCCTTCCTTCTGCACCCAGACAGAGTCACTGCCTCTTCCCATAAGGTCACCAGTGCTAACTGCATTAGGGGCCTTATGACCTCATTTGACCTTAATTACTTATTTAAAGGAATACAGTCACATTGGGGTTAGGGCTTCAGGATATGAATGTGGGGGTGGGGGTGGAGGTCACAATTGAGTCTGTAACAACCACAAAGCCAGAGATGCACTAAAGTCAGTTCTGAAGTCATTTAAATGCTTCCCGTCCGTTCGCGATTCTATGCCATGCCATCAAGAGATGAATTTTTAAACATATAATTGTCTTTAAGAGAGGCAGGGGGCACAAAATCACAGGAGTGTTATACAGAGTTCCTGTCTACTTTGATTTTAGGTTAGACACTGGCACTTGAACACCCTTAGTGGGGTCAGGTGGGTGCTTGGGCCCGATCCCCACTCGCGCCTCTTCACAGGCTCCGAGGCCCTTCAGAGATTGTACTCTGAATGCAGGGGTGACTGGGAAAATGTGGAGGTTAGGAGGAGAGGGGGCGAGACAGAGGCGCAGTGGGCTGGAGGGAGAGGGACACACACATTCTGCCTGCCCAGACAGCTGCCAGTTCCTTTCATTTACCTGTTCTGCCAGGTGCGAAGTCTGTCCTGCCCGGGGCTGTGCCTTCTCGGCAACGTGCCACAGGAAGGCAGAGAAAATTGAGGGGGAACAAAATGTATGTGGGAAAAGGCTGTCCCTTAACGTCCCTTCCTAATACGGACAGGAGAGAACTAGCCAGTTGGGAAAATAGAGGTGTCAAAGCAAACCCAGTCATGACTCCAAATGTTAACTAGGGAAGGTGTGAGGTTGTCCCCTAATGGGATAAACATCGTGGGTCTTGTCTTAATAATCTGCTGGTAATGGCCGCCGTACATATCCACCTTAAGAGGTCCCCAGGTGGCAGCCCTGTGGTTCGGTGAAAGAATGGGTACGATCTATAGATGAGGACAGGCGCTGGACAAACCGAGCAAGGAGCACCAAGGCCCAGGAGTCGGCTCGGGGTCTCCTGCTCCAGACAGACTTCTTGGGAGGTATCTTCTGGTTCTTGAGAAAATGGAATGTGACTATGCTCTCCATTTGCTCCCAGAGCCTCATCCTCCTTTGAGTAGTAGCTGCCACTCTGTAGCTGCCACGTCCGTACTCAGAGGCCAAGAGTCCTTGAGGCATGGGAACCGCCCATCTAGCCCAGCATCCCCTGCCTGAGAGCACTTCTGTGTGGTTGGCCTGGTCCAAGAGGACTATTCTCATGTCTCCTCGGGGGCGGATCGAGCCTTCGTACAGACTCCTTGCTTTATGTGTTCACGCCAAAGAAGGGAGACATCAGGATCTAGCTATTTGGGAATTCAGAGGTCCTGACCTAAGGACAGGCACCACAGGGGACAGGGCCTCTTCTACTTGAAAAGTAAGTGGTAGAGTTGACCCCTTCCTGCAACTTGGTGCCTCAGGAGTCCCCATGTGACGAACAATCCTGACATTGCAGGCCATCCAGAGGCAGCTGGAGGAGGTGGAGGAGCGGCAGAGGGCTTCCGAGATCCGAGGCGTGCGACTGGAGAAGGCGCTGAGAGGGGAAGCAGGTAGGCAGCCCCGCAGATCAGAGAGGCGGGCCTGGGCCACAGTAGTGCCCGTCTAACCATGTGGGCTAGACACGGAGACCTCGTCACCCTGCGGAATGGTTACTGTGGGCCTGCAGCGCTAAGGCCACAACTGCGGCACACTTCCCAAATCAAACTCGTGGTCAGTTTGAAATTCCCAGGACACTGGTCAGCTGTGGCCTTGTCGCTGGGTTTCTGGCCTGCCTGGCCTCACTTATGCAAGTGCGTGTGCTCTTTGCAATCCAGGCGTTGTGGGGGTGTTCCAGCAAAGTGGGGAGCGATCAAAGTCCAGACTTGGACTCAAGTCTTCATTCCTCCCTTTCGTAGCTGTGTACCTTGGGCTGGGTCATTCTAAACTTTTATGAACTTTCGTTTTCTTTTCTAAAATGGGGATATTTGTGGTTTCCTTCAGAACCGATATAAAGATTAAAGAAGAAATTATGTATAAAAAATATATATGAAGAGAGGCGCCTGGGTGGATCATTTGGTTAAGTGTTAGACTTTAATTTTGGCTCAGGTCATGATCTCACAGTTTGTGAGACTGAGCTCCACATCAGGCTCCAGGCTGACAGTGCAGACCCTGCTCGGGATTCTGTCTCTCCCTCTCTCTCTGTCCCTTCCCTGCTTGCATGCTCGCTCTCTCTCAAAACAAATAAACATAAAAAATAAAATAAAATAATGTATTCATATGAAGATAATAAATTGACATGTTGCCTGGTACAAGAAATGGTTAACTATCCCACCAATAGCTTCAGATCTTAGATCCAAACAGAATTCATCTGGTGAAGACCTACCCTGCGGGAGACATGAAGACAGTGGGTCTATAATGATGAGCATGGCACAGTTTCCGCCTTTGAGAAGTTCGTGGTCCATTGAAGGACGCAGACATGTACATAAATAAACGACAATAAAGGAAGACAAGTTCTGCAATAGGAACAAGCGTTCAGGGAGGGGGCATGGGAACACAATCACAGACTTCCTAACTGATCTTGGGGAGAAGCACGCTCAGGTTAATCACCTGGAAGGGACAATCCATTACGACGAGAACCAGAAGAGGGATAGGAGTTAACTAGTGAGTTGAGGAGATTGTTCTAGAAGAGGGACATTGTTCCAGAAGATGTGAAGTGCCTCAATAAATAAGGACACAGCCATGGATTCCACGGTGAGGGATGGCTTAAAGAAACCTACATTTTTTTGGAAGCCACCCCAGCACCACTTTACAGCTAATGAATTGGAGAGGCCCTTAGAGTTAGTGGGTGGGACATAATATTGTCTCTTTCAATTTTGGATGCGATGTCTTTAGCCTTCTGCACTTCGGATACAACCAGACACTGCGTGCAAACAGATCTCTGCATGCGATTGTGTAAACATCTTACTTGTTAAACAACATGGCGGAAGGTTAGGATTTCAATTCTCTTAAAAGCTCAGCTATTTGAGAGTGATGATATCAGCAGGGGCAGACCCAGATTTTGCGAGGCCTGAAGTTTGTACAAAGTCACGCAAGCAAAATTATGAGGGTGGCTCCCACAGCTTTGCAAGGCTCAATCAAGTGAGGGGCCCTGCGGTGTTAGCTTTAGCAACTGCGTGGCTAGCTTGTTTCTGAGTAACAGCGAAATGTTGGGGTCTGACTTTATGCCTCGGAGCCCAGTTTATAAAGTGAGGGTGATCAGCAGACCCGTTTCTTGGATTTATGATGAGGATGGGCTGAAACAATTTATGGGGAAATCCCAGCACAGCACGTGGCACAGGACAGATGATCGGTAAGCATTTGTTCCTTTTCTTTCTAAAATACACTGTGCATTTCCTTGCAATGCACTAATCCGCCCATCAGGAACAGACTTCTTTACAAATATAATAACTGTCTCTTGCTTGCAGTAAGAGACACTGCCTGTCTCTACAGCTGTTATTGGGACTTTCAGTAAAATGAAGTGCCTTCGTTTGACACATGGCCATATTCCCCATCGAGAAGGCTCTGTGCTGGTTTTTGGGCATCTACAGATTTCAGCGAAAGCCTTAGAAATGAAAAGGATAAACCAACAAAGCTAGGCATATTTCCATTTGCTGGTGAGGCAGGTTGGCATGGTAGGATAGTAGGCATCAACGAGCCTGTGTTCAGATTCTGCTCTGTTGCACTTACGCTGTGTGACCTTGGAAGAATCACTTAACCTTTCACAGCGCAGATTCCTTATGCCAAAAATGGAGCTAATAATCCTCACATTACCAGGTCATTTTGAGAATTCAGGGCATTGGTTGGCAAATCGCCTCCGAGAGCGTCTACCATGCTGCAGACCTTCAACAGATGCCTCCCGATGTCGTTTTTACAAAGCATTCTTAAGGATCCATCGGCACACATACACTGTTAACCGAGTCATTTGGGACACCTGGGTGGCTCAGTCGGTTAAGCATCTGACATCAGCTCAGGTTATAATCTCACAGTGGTCTGTGAGTTCAAGCCCCATGTCAGGCTCTGTGCTGACAGCTCAGAGCCTGAAGCCTGCTTCAGATTCTATGTCTCCCTCTCTCTCTGCCCCTCCTCCACTCATACTCTGTCTCTGAAAAATGAATAAACATTAAAATTGTTTTAAAGTATTAAAACAACAAAAAAAGAATTGACTCACTCATCTTTACTGCTTGAAATTTAAATTCCAGAAACCAAATTTTCAAAGCTTCTGAAAATCTCCCTCTCCCCCAAGCTTAAAGAAAGGGTATTTTACACTATCGGCTGAAGAAAGTCAACTTGTGGTGTTTTCAAAGGTGTGTCAGCCCAGCCAGAAGATAGATTCCCTTCATTCCCTTTACATCCTTAGTAATTGAATTCCCCTGTTCAGTTATTGGGCCTTTCCCCCCTTGATTGTCCTTGTGTGGGTGACAGATACAGATCAACACGGGGCTGGAGCCTGGAAGAGTCCAGTCGAGGAGAGTGGCCCCGAAGGAAACCAAATGGAAGATGTGCAAACCAGGCATCAAAATTAATACACTCTAACTTATAATAACATTTGTGCAATAATAATATTCCTTTGCAGTTTAATATTCTATTCAGCCCCTTTAAGAGATTGCCCTGGTGCTTAATGAATGACCAATGCTTATTAGGTTAAGTTGTATTTGAGCTGGCCTGTGCTGCTCTGGTTCAAGTGATTCAATGGGAATTATTTAATAGGTATTATTAGGATAATTAGAAAATGATCACAGTTAGGCAATAATATTGAGCTATAAAGGTTGTGAATAACCAAATTTAGAGACAGGCCTGAAAACATGAGTAGTCTGTGACAGTAATGCAAGGTTCCTCTAATAATTACGTGCGCCTGCCTGAAAGGCTCTTTTGTTCCTAGGAGTTATTCATTAGGCGGGCATTGAATTAGAGGAACATGCGGGGGTGCAGGACGGAGGGCAATGATGTCTGATGAGCAAAATGAAGCTTTGACGAGCTTCTAATTGTCGTGACAACAATTCCTCCTTTCTTTCTCCCCAACAGTCAGAAATAAACTCCCCCACCCGCGGCAAGGGTTGTTCCTCATTTTGTCAAGGAAGGGGAAACAAAGAAGAACAAAAATCCAACAATCCGCCCTAGATGGCGAGTCACGATGTCCTGTAGGGTGTGTGCTGGGAGGTGGGGAGAAGTGTTATGGATGGATGGATGTCCTTGAAAAAGGGCATGGATTCCCCTGGTGGCCCTAGGTGCCCAGAGTAAAGGACCAGGATGTGCAGGAGCCTGATTGCCCCCCACCCCCACCCCCACGAGGAAAACCAGCCACTTCGATTCTTCTTGGTCAAGGCCCTGTTACTTATTGATTTGTTGTCAGTGAGGTGGTCCAGGTTAAGTGCTAAGGCTATGGAATTTCCCAGTTTTGCGAGAGACCAGCATCCAGATTTAGGTGATGTGGGTAACAGAATCTGTGCTTTAATACCTGGAGGCAGGTAAAATCTGATGAAAACTTGAGAGCAGCTTGGAAGGAGAAAAGATTTGTCCCTAGGGGAGGTATATGGGAATTACTTTTCCCTTATAGTGTTACCGACTTTTCAGAAAGGCTTACTAGCTGGTTGTCTGCATTGAGCGTCTTGCTTTTTTTTTTTTAAGAGCCAGATGGCTTCGCCCTCACAAAGATGGAGTTTACAAAGAAATAGCAGGATGGGTGAGGCTGCCAGTAGGTGGCAGCAGGAGCACATGTTATGGCAAGAAATTGCAATGGAAACCTAGCCAGGAAGAGGGAAGTAGTTTGGCATGCACTCTGTGGTTTTTGTCTTGACTGGTGCTGAGGAACAGAAGGAATAATACTTTCCTTGAAAATATAACAATGAGGTGTCCTTAAAAGAACACAGACGTTGGAATCAGACACTTTTGAGTTTGAAGCCTGATGCGATTCGTAGAAAATGGCCAAGAGGAGCAAGACTCCAAAGGTGATGGCTAAACAGGCAAGGAATTTGGATGGGTTGGCCACAAGTGTTAGTTTTGTTGGCTGTTGCCCAGCCAACAGCAGGAAGGCAGCATGGTACAAGTTGCCCCAGACCCAAGCCTTACTCAACAAATAAAGATCGTCTGCTTATTAGGTGTCCACCTCTGATTCCAGCCTCAGGGGCCCCTCCATACAAGGCTAGTGGCCTTATAACAAAGATGGGCCCACTGAGGGTGAGACTGAGATTCTCTTCCTGAAGAGGCCTTGGGTCCTCTCCACTGCATGGGTTCCTGGGGCATCGAGGTCTCAGAGGCCCTAGAGCATTGCCTTACACAAAAACTACCATGACAGCAGCAAGAAATGCATTTTCTATCACAAATTAGTACAAATAAATATATAACTGAAAACATTCATCCAGAAAAAATACGGAATTTTGCTACATGTAAAAGACTAGTACTTTCCGTTCTGTCTTATTTTTAGTGCTTGTTCTGACCCATAAAGTTAATTTTGCAACCCTCAGATTTAAAAAACATCGTCATAATGATTTTACCTGGAAGAACATTTGAAACTAGATTGCCAAATGGCCGACTT